ACTCGTCCACTCACCAATAACAGACAGTTCAACAATCATCTTCAGATGGCATCTATAAGCCCATCCTCCTACCAACAATTCCAAATGGCATCTATAAGCCCATTCCCGACAAAGTCCCGTCACACCTCCCGATGGCATCTGTAAGCCCATCTCCACAACTATCCATTACATCACCAAATGGCATCTGTAAGCCCATTCCCTCTACCATCACATCACCGAGTGCAAATTTTTGGGCACTCTAGTGTCCAATCTCCTTTTACCTTCAAGTCGCGAAAGGCAAACTTGCCAATCTAACTCTTCAGGTTCAAGAAGATTGAACAGGGGCAACTGTTGTACCCCAAAATTTGCCCTCGTATTTTTCCACAAGAAATCACAGCTTCGGGCTTTTCCCTGATTTTTCAGATTGGCGTAAGAATCAGTCAAACAGACTTTTCTCGTCAGTCAGACAAAATTAGGGTTTTTCATTGATTTTAAAACAGTTCAGGCAGATTGCTAAGGTTTGGTTGATTTTGGCTCAAGTTTTGATCAGGCGAACGCTTCTTTGGCATTTAATCAAGAACTAGGGTTTTGTGCACATATTTCTCAGAAAAAATTCATTCTATAGTTCTCCTCAATTTACTTTGAAGGTTGGACTGAGTCATTTGGATTGAGTTTGCAGTGTTGGATTTAATCAAGTGAGAAAGAAAAGGGCATGTGGACATTTTGTTTGTTTAGTTGTGCAGTGCTCTGATTATTCAAGATGCCGGACATTTATGGATGATTTATTATTCTGAGTTAAAATGGTTGGAATTTATTTCCAATTATTATAATTTGAGAATTATAAATAATAAAATAAACAATTGAAAAGAAGAAAAGGAATTAACTGATAAAAAATAGATTTTATTCATCTTTAATTTATTTGTTATAATTATTATTTAAATATAGTATTTTTTTTTACAAAGTATTTACAATGATAATTTACAAATATTTAAAATGAAATAAAAACTATCCTAATTCCTAAGTCTTCATTTTCCATCCATTGCTCCCTCTGCTTCATTTGATTTTATCTGCAAAAAAATAAGAAAAGAAGCAAAAGTCAAAGCAGATAAATTAAAAAGACAGACAGTAATTTAAGGATTCATCATTAAAAACAAATGGCCGGAATCAGTTTTGCCCTCTCTGCAAATCACGAGATTTCTCCCGGTTCACAGAGAGGGATGAAAATGCTTGCAAAAGAAAAGGATATGAAATGCACAAAAGTATAATTTGCACAAATTCAAAATTGTCACACATGCTGCCTAGTTCCAAGTTTTCAACCAAAGAAGACAAACCAAACTGAATGGCATAAACCAAGTCAAAGGTTGTCAAGGCAACTAGCTGTCAAAAAACTGTCCAAGCTGCCCAAAAGATATCTCAAGATATCAAAGTACAAAATACTGTCAACAAGATGCAGGAAAGTTGGAGAAAGAGATAAAGTATGCAGAGGAAAATATACAAATGCAAGCAACATCAATATCATCACTTTCCAGCCATTTGCTTTTTCAGAATAAGACAAACATAAGCAATATAAAATGCTTTTAATCTGTCATGAGAGAGAAAGAAGAGAAAAGAGGTACAGGCTTATAGGCTTTAGGCAGGAAAATATATAAAACAACAGATATACCAGCATAGAAAAAAGAGGCAGAAATATCAAAGACAAAAAACCTGTCAAGCTTCAACGGATAAAAACAAAGCAAGACCCTGATTCAAAAGGCCTCAAAACTAAAGCTTAAACAATTTTCAACAGAAGCCTGAGCATCAGCCTGCTAAAACCTCAAAGCCTTTCAAGTCTTACCATTCAGAACACAACCCTGTCAAGCTTAAAACCAAAAAACAGCATAAGCCATCAAAGCTCTCAAAAACACCAAAAAACCTGAACTGTCCAGTTTCAAACCCAACCTGCTGAAGCCTAAAACCAGTTCATAAAAACATAAACCAGTAAAGATAGAACATACAAAAACATTCAAAATTGACTTGTCCAAAAAAACCTGCAGTCCAAGCCTTAACCAATTGATAAACCTAAAACCTGCTCAAGCCTCAAGCTTACCTGCCTGAACTGGCATCAAGCCTAAAAGCCTCGTGCCTATCTAAGCCAGTAAAACCAAAAACACCCAAAGCTGCATGTCAAGCCACGAACCAGAAGCCTAAACTATCCAACAATAGCCGTAACCTGTTTGAGCCTTAAACAAAGGACCAGAAGTTCAAGTATTGAGCCTAACCTGCCTTCACTATCAACAAACATTTCAAACCCAATATGCAGGAGCCAAGACTGAAACTGAAGCCAAAATCTGAACTGTCAAGCCTAAAAATCCAAATATCATAACTAAGCCACAGGGCCCTCAGAAAACTTTCATCACTGGGCCAACATAACATCATCCAAGGCAACCAAACATATCAAAGCAAGCATACGAGGCAAAGAGGCCCTCAGAGGAAGCCTCATCACAGGGCAAACATTACAAGGCAATTCAGTACAGCAATCATTCAAGGGTCAAGCGTACGAGGAAACTGAAACAACAGAAAGAGAAGAAGATAAAGAAGCTAGGTTTTCAAGTATCATCATCAAACCCTAAAGAAGGTAAAGACACAAACCAGGGAAACTCCCAAAGCTCGCGCGTCATCAAGCCCCCGTCCAGCCATCCTGAGCGCCTCCATCTTTATTCCTCCTCCATCTCCTCCAAAAGGTATACAAAACCCTCTCTTTTCCTTAAAGTACCTCAATAACAAACGATAATAAACACATAATATCAGAAGACGGAATCAGAATATGCAAGGATAGAATTAACAAACCCTAAAAAAACGTTACCTTTCTTCTCATTTTTTGCGTTGCCCAACCAACGGAGGGAAGAGGGCGAACGGCGGCGCTCGGTGGCCTTGGACGGAGGTGTTAACTCAGAGGTTTGTTTAAGAAGATGAAGAGGAAGCGAAGTAATGAAGAACGGCGCCTCTGTGTTTCACAAGCTCACGAACCCTAATGAAAACGAACCTTGCAACCCTAAACGAAATGAACAAACTTGCAATGGGCCTTGCCCTTTTCCAGTAAGCCTAAGCCCATTGCCACTCAGTTATACACCCCCTCCCTGACTTAGCCTGTTGCTTTTGATTGGGTTGTAAAACCCTTTTAGCCCATTTGTTTCAAAACTTATACCTTTTTTTTACTTATCCTATTTTTTTTATTATTAATTTTATTTTTACATCAAATTTTTATTAATAATACCTTTATATATATATATATATATATATATATATATATATATATATATATATATATATATATATATATATATATATATATATATATATATATATATATATATATATATATATATATATATATATATATATATATATATATATATATATATATATATATATATATATATATATATATATATATATATAACATAATTATAATTTTGTATATAATAATCTTTTGACTTAAATCTTTTGTACAAAAGTTTAACTAAAAATATAAATAATCTTTTTCTTTAAACTTAAAACTTTTTTTTTTAGTTAAACTTTTGTACATAATTAATTAAAATACATTATTTTTAATACCTAAAAGAATAGACCTTAGAACATTTTTTCTTTTTAAATTTTCTTATTTGTACATATTAGCAAAAATATAAAACATGATAACAATATATAAGTAAAATACAAGAATACAAAATTAAATAAACAATACTTATTTTTTCTCGTTAAGTTAATATTCCATACTTGTAAATACATACACTTACACATTTGCAATATGCAAATACGTTTACTTTACATTGACACATATACATTTGCTATTTTTATGCATTGCTATACATTATATTTTACATTTGCGATCGATTCGATTTGGTTGTAATTATTTTGGATACTATCCTCCTATAAGTCTCATCCCCCATGTGTATACTTGTACCCCCACTCCCGAATACTATTTTGTAATAGCGTAGACTTTAAATTCCCGCAATTTACCGCTTTCAAATATACCATGGTTAGACTTAGGGTTTGTATGTACATAAAATCAAACGCTAGATAACCTAATACAAGACAAATACATGAAATCAATACACAATCACACTTGCACCCCTAGGGATGAGCAGGCAAAAAAGTGTATGTATGGGTAAGAGATGAATACCCGACCCTCTAGGAACAGAGGGTATTTATAGCCCCTAGTGCGGGGCCAAGGTCCCTTCATTGGGCCGACCAGAACTGGCCCAATAAAGGAACTGCCAGGTTCTACGTGTGTAGTGGGGACTCGCACGTGGTCTCATTCTTGGTGATGCTCTGCGAGAAATGAGGAGGGACGAAGACGCGGTCTTTCCGGAGTTCAGGTGATTTGGTAACGGTCAGAGTCTGCCCTACGAGGAGGGGGTACTCGAGCTGGATTTCCCGTGGTCGAGAACACCATGTTCGCGGGCAACGACGGGCACGACTGCAGTTTCTGATCGGGCGCGCTGGCGAAAATTCTCGGACGCGCGCTCCTCGAAGAGTTGCTTGGATTGAACCTTCGTTCTTGCTTTTGGGGCAGGGCGGACCCAGTCCAGAACAGTAACTCTAGAGATAATAAATATAAAACAGTTTCAAATTTGAAAACAATATTTAGGTTTAAATATGTTTTTATTTTTTAATATATTATTTTTTATTTTATAATTTTTGTAAACTATTTCTTATGAATAGTTAGTCCATAAGTTATTTTTATTTTTAAGAGCATTTGGATGAGATGCCTGTCAACTAAATTAATATTTATTTTAACTTAAAATTTAGTTATAATGAGCTTAATTTATCCATTTTATAAATTATATGGACTAACTTAATATAATTATAACGGGGGATGACATCTCAATGGGGCGAACATCCCAAAAATTATATGATTGATTAATGCTAATTGTAAACAATATAACTTTAAAGTAATTGTGAACCATTAATAAGAGAAAAATAATTGATAAAGAAAGGGGTGAGAGACTTTTTGGGAAGCATAACAGCTCCTAGGTTGCTGC